ACTTGGAGTACAATCCTTTGTAATAATATTCCAAAGAATAAGGTCCTCTGATTCTATCTCCTTTTTGGTTGGTTGGTTCCAAGGGTTGTATGAGCTTGATCTTGAATCACCGTGGAATTTGGTTGAAGAACGACACATCTTTGGCTGTGCTTGTTGTTGATCACCGTGGAATTTGATGAAGAACGGCACAATTTGATGTGCTTGTTGTTCTTCATCTTCAGAGAGGATTTGTTGAATTTGATGAAGAACGGCACAGCTTTGAATATGCTTGTTGTTCTTCGCCTTCAGGTTTGGAATTTCTAGACCTTCTGGATTTCCGAGTCTCTGGATTTCTAAACTCTGAATTTGTGTCTGAATTTCTGGATTTCTGAATTCTGAATTTGTGTCTGAATTTCTGGACTTCTGAATTCTAAATTTGTGTCATTTGTTGAATTTGAGGAAGAACGGCACGTCTTTGGATGTGCTTATTGTTCTTCGTCTTCAGAGAGGAGAGAATTTGGTAAAGAACGGCACGACTTTGGATGTGTTTGGTGTTCTTTGCCTTCAGGTTTGCCCTTGGGATTTCTGGCCCTCTGAATTTCTAAGTCTCTGGATTTCTAGACTATGAATTTGTGTGCCTTCCTCCTTCCTCCAGGCCTCTATTTATAAGCTTTTTGGATTAATAGGATGATAACACGTTTCCTCTCTTCCGATAAGGAAAAGAAAATCATAACTAGGCCAGGCCGGTTATATTATGATAATTATCCTTAAAAATAATTATTCCAAATATACTTTATTAGGAATAATTGTCTTTCCATTTAATCATCTGGGCTGGGCTAATTAAATAATTTAAGTGGACCAAACTTGGGCCAATTAAATAACGTAATTAAACATTAGACCCATATTTGATGGGTCAATTTGTCAAAACAAAAGTCCATTAAAATTTTAGTGTCTACAATATTCACTGAACAAAGCACTGATCGACTGCACTTCTGTAAGATCTCCGTCACACACTTTGTTTAACCGAACTAAGTTGCGACGTGGAGGACTATGTTGTTGTTGGGGGTCACTTGGATTTCAAATTGATCAGCTTTTTGCCTGAGAACCTCAATATTTCCTTCCATTGAAGCCTTATATAGGATTGGATCCATCATGCATATCACTAGGGTTAGCTTTTTGACACTGGTTTCTGCTTGGAATTAGTCTCCTTAGCCTCTTGAATAAATATATTTTAAACACCCAACTTCTTGTACTCCTATCTACATTATCAAATGAATATGTATGTCTAAGAAAACCTAGCTTGCTATGGAGAAGTAAAAAGAATGATGTTTTCAATGTTTTTCATCTTTTGTTTTCTCCAATGGTGAGATGTTTTCAAAGTCGGTCCACTAAGGAATTAATCTTGGCCTAAATTCTAAAATTAATAAAGGTTGACATTATGGATTAGTTTAACAGATGTGTATAAGTTACAAGGGGTTAAGGGCTCACCAAGAAATAAAGTATGCATCATGACAGTGGTAGAAAGGTATATACTTCTCTTGTTTGAATTGCAACGTCTTTGTCATGGCCGACCGATCACCGATGTGGTTGGTATCGACGATATTATCATATTCATATGACCATATTTATTAGAAAATTAGTTTAATTAAGCTCCAGCTAGTACTCACTAATTAATGTAATACCTTAAACATATAAAATCCCGTCAAGCATTTCAAACAGGTGAAAAAAATATGGCTAGTAACCAAGGAACAAAATGGCAGGAGATGTCCACAATTTGATTTTCCGGCACCGCTGAAATGTTGCTTTTTAAAGCTGTGTTATGAATGAATGGGGGCTGAAAGAGGGGATGGTCACTTCAAAAACTGCAGCATTACATCAACAAACGGCAGCATGCCAGAAAATGACATTGCAGATGATATAATTGCAGAAAATCAAAATGCACATTAGATTGAACAAGACAATATTCATAGTAACATAAACAAAGAGCACATCTGAATGTTATATGGATCCTGCAGGCACCGTTATATAAAATTGGAGTCAACACCATAACGGATGGAACATGGTCTATTTTAGGATTATATAAAATGCCACCATTTCAATATCATGATGCATTTATTTACGATAATGACTTCCATTTAAATTTGTGCAGAAAACGAAGTTGCACGATTTAATTTCCACAAAATGCCTAATCACACAAAGGTACTAAGGTAAAACAGCACTACAGCAGATGAACATGTATATAGACACAACAATCTCAAAAAAAAATTACACCAAAATTTAATATTATCCCACTTCAACACAAAGAAACAATTGGAATCGATGATATCCAACAAGTTCCCCAACATTTTAATAGATTTTCTAAAGTACCACGCTTAATTAAGGGAGAAATAACTTTGACCTTAGTTCTATTCATTAGCAACCCAAAGAAACGAGTAATGCTACGATGCCCGAATTGGTTCTTTGGCGACTCCAATATACAGTCTCCAACAAGAACAGTATAAAATAGAGTATTTCTCTTTCTACTTTTATCATTTTCCAAATCAAATTAACACAGAACTACAATTCTTCCAGTCTGGTTGTTTTAATGCGGAAGAAAAGAAAAGCATGCAACAAGAACGTATCAAAGTTCAAAATGACTCATTTTGTGTACTATCAAATCAGCATGTTTGTGTACCGGAAGCTGATTATAGAAATTTTCAGTAATGAAACATCACAAGTGAGAATTGGCAATGAGGTTGCTTATCATGTGGCTAAACTCCGAATGGCAAAGCGAATATCAAACAACACAGCTTTCGAGCCCTGGATTCTCCCCAACAACAGCATTTACATCAACATGTAATTCTCAAAACATACTTGACTGAAGCCACATTAACGTGTCCAAAAAATCGGTTTGTGCAGTAAACAAAAGAATCCGGAACACTGCACCACCACCGGCAATATGGGGCAAGGGGTAGAAAGCAGCATGTAAATTGCATTTAATAACTCCCTATCTAGGAAGCTGCCATCGATGAAGACAATGAATTATATTAGGGCGAGAGATAATCTGACCTGGATCCAATTGCTCGACATGACTGCGTGCGTGCAAGGCTGATAAGTGCAAATGATGGCAGTTCTTGCATTTCCTCCTATAGGGTTCTTCAAGACTGATATTTTTTGAAGATTATTTGAAAACAATATGTCTTAACCATTAACAAGATAAGAAGATATGCAGTCAGCTTTTAAGCTTTTGTATTATTTGACAATAACAAAGGTGTAATGTTTATACATATATATATATATGTAAATGTTAAATGAATTTTTTAAAGCCATGGGGCCCACCACTAACTTGATTTTAGTAGTCAAAGGGGCCAATTCAGCCCATTTTTCCTCTCCTCTCTTCCCGTAATCTTCTCTCTCTCACTAGTTCTTCACTTTTCTTTTTTCTTTTGCTTCAAAAATTCAAATTTCAATTAATCTCTCATCTCTTGGAGTTTTTGGGAACCGTTTGTGGCAAAACGGAGAGCACAGCGAGATCTACGTGTGAGTACAAGCAATTCATCATTTGGTGCACTATAGGAATTTCGAAATTCTAGGATTCTTAGGCTCAAATTGGGGCTTTTTCTCTCATTTGAGGTAGGAGTGTTTAATTCATGCATTCTTGTTCTTTTGTGAATTTTCTAGTATGTATTGTGCTCTAGAATGCCTATTTTGTGGAAACTCTTCTAAAAATTGTTTGAGTGTTGTATGTGAGATCGTAAAAGTAGAAGTTAATTGATGAATTATGATGATGTATGCTTAACATGAAATTAATTCCATATTTTATACGCTTAACATGTTACATTATGGTTGAATGAAGGCATGTCACGTTTTATTTGAATTATTTGTAAAGCATGCTATGTGGTATAATTTTTGAACTTATGTAAAATGATAAATGTTGATATGATGCATCCATGCACCTCATTGGGAAGAAATGGGAATGATGTTTTGAGATAAATGAAATGGGGTTTTTCGAATATGATTTTATAAAAAACCCGGTCGCCTAGGGGTTACCGAAGGGCCGTGGTGTTAGTGAGGCCTAGAGGGGATTAGGAAAATTCTCCTTAGTGTAGTTGACCTATCTAGGCCCCAAATGACGCCACGGGATTACCATGGGTCAAGGACAGTAGCCAATCCTCCTCTCGTGTCGCCAGGGGGTCACCGTGGGACAGGTTTCACTAACGGTTTGGAAATGATGACGGTTATGATTTTGAAAAAAAAAAAAAAAAAATGGTGAGAGACATAGCACGACATGGCATTACATTTCATGGCTTGGATTATTGGTGTGATTGTGTAATTATTTTCCCGGCATAGCATGATCCTAGTTCTTTTATTGCTATTCATGGTGTGGATTAACAGGGTTTCAAGAGGTGTGTCTTAAGCACTACCTACTGAGCTTTATGCTCACCCTATTATTTAATATTTTTCAGAACACGGAAAAGAAGTGGCGGATGATGTTTCACCACAGGCCTACCATGGATTAGATGATCGTTTTGTTATTTTTGTATCTAAGTCTCACTTTTTTTCGTAAAACTTAATATAATGTATTTTGTACGAAGACTTATGGACCCTTATTGTTGTAATTATATCTATGGGCTGTAACTTTTATATAAGTTGTCTAAATGTTGTAAAGCTTGGACATTTGATCTTAACCTTGTATTTTGGGACTGTAATTATGATATTTGGATGAAATGGTATGTGGTTTGGGATGAACTAAGTTAAGACATAATGAATGGAGGAAAAGTATGTTGGACTATAATATTTTTTTATGCATCTAAGCAGGTTGTTGTAGGTCCTTTTTTAGCAAAGGTCATGCCGAATTTTTTTTATAATTAGTATCATTTTAGGGTCGTTACAAAAGGTAAGCAGCTTACCTCATGAGGGTGATGTGAAGTTGATGTACTGATGTTGTGTAATGTTTGCTTCCTACAGTCCCACATCGGAAAAACATAAATGTGAGTTTTCTGGGGAGTCCTATATATTAAGTTGAAAGCTAAATTTACAACATACTTACCTGGACGGGATCAATGCGTGATCAAGAAGGCCCATGGTCTAGGTTGGTGACCTCCATTGCACTCAAGAGGGGTGCTTGCCTAAGGTTTACCCAAGTGATGGAGCCTACGTCATAATTTGTGGTAGTGGGGGCCTGCGTTCGTGTGGCACTCATCCGATGGTCCTCAAACCTTAAGAGTTGCGTTCGTGTGGCACTCATCCGATGGTCCTCAAACCTTAAGAGTATTTTTCTATATTTCTTGTGTTGAACAGTGTTTTTCTATGTTGCTCAGTAGGGTTCAACTCTTATTGTGTGTGCGTGTCGATTCAAATAGAATCTAAAAGTAAACCTTTCCTAGTCTATTTACAGACAGATTAATTGGCCATTTTTTTTTTTTTTTTTTACTTAAGAGAAGAAACATTTACTAGTCTATTTACAGACAGATTAATTGGCCATTTTTTTTTTTTTTTACTTAAGAGAAGAAACATTTACTAGTCTATTTATAGACAGATTAATTGGCCATTTTTTTTTTTTTTTTACTTAAGAGAAGAAACATTTATGAAATGAGGAAACCAAGTTCCTAAATGTCAACCAACAAAGTTTGGATCATTACTGGAGCCACACTACATGAATAAAACACTAGATATAAAGTCTTACAGAAATCTGCAAGTTAACATCCCCCAGTCTTCTACTGCCATCTCTTACAGCAGAGGAAGTTGATTCACTGCACAAATAATGCATCACTTCTTCTCCGTCCGAACTTCAGAAATCAAAATCAAACAATGTATGTTTTATGTCTCATGGTTGATGTATTAGTAAATGCTTTTACAAGCCAAATCAAAGATTTTACTAACTCCCTTTCTAGGAGGCTGCCATCCATGAACAGAATGAATGTAGTAGGGCTAGAGCCTAGAGATAGTCTGACCTGGATCCAATTGCCTCTGAGCAATGAGCATCCAAAAAAATCCCAGAAGTGGGAGACAATTCGACCAACCACAAAACTAGGCTGCCACAACTCTCCATCAAACGGAAAATGATTACGAAATGCCACGGTATTAGATGTGGCAAAAATCGATCCAAAATTCTTCTACATTCTCCCCAAAATATCCAGTTCTATTTGCAACTGTTTAACTATTGCCTCATCAGATATCACCACATTAACCTATGCATGAGTACTGAATGTTCGTTTCTACAGTCCCACATCGGGAAAACACAAGTAGGAGTTACATTGAGAGCTCTATATAACAAATTGAAAGCATATGGTACAACATACTTACCTGGACCGGTTCAATTGGTTATCAAGAAGGCTCATGGCCTAGATTGGTGACCTCCATTGCACTTAGGAGGGGTGCCTGTCTAAGGTTTACCCTAGTGGTGGAGCCTATGTCATAATTTGTGATAGTGGGGGCTTGCGTTCGCGCGGCCCCTACCCAAGAAAAAAAATATATATATCAGTCTGATGGTATCAAATTGGTTCTTCATAAAGAAATTCATTTTTGATGGTCACCAAAACTGAGCTGAATTTTACCACAACTGAATTTTCAGGTGTGTTATCTTAAAACTTTTCTACACCAAAATTTTATATTATCCTACGTCAACACAAAATGAAAAACAACAATTGGAATCAACAAGTTCGTCAATATTTTAATAGATTTTCAAAAGGACCACCATAATTAAAGGGAGAAAGAACTCTAACCTTGAATCTCAGAAAGCTACTCTTCTGACCTACACGGGAAGAGCGTCAAATAACACTTGTCAACACCAAAATTTCAACCACCCCACAGATAACAACAAAGACTAACAAACAAATGAGCAATGCATATGCAAATTTGAAAACATGATTTCGGATAGCCCCAAAAAAAGCACAAGAGCAAAAAGCAAACCAAGCAAGACCCATCAATAGTAGAATTTTCCAACTAACAGATAATTAACCCTTTAGAAGAAATAGAAAGTCACAAAAAATTTAGCATAATATGAGAATAAAGTACATATAAAACATGAGTAAGGAATAAGTTTTATTGAATAACTTAAACATTAACCCAACAATCAAATAAACTCAAACCCACCAATATGTGATTGAATTAGTGTACTCTAGATGAATGTCGATGGAATATCACCACATGTCTGATGAGAGAATGATGGAGACCCTTTCCTGAGACTGCATCTGGGTTTATCCAGCATCTCCTGGCTGCCTCCAAAATGACCTTATCATGACGAGTAAGGTTTGTGTCTAGTTTGAAAGTGAGACAGATTGAGAGATGGTTTAACTTGCTACAGTTTTGGGTAATGCATTAAAAAGGAGTGAAAAGGTGTATTATCTTTTAAAAAATGAGTGGGAATGTAAATTTTGTATTGGAAAGGTCATTGAGTGTGGTCTCTTCAAATTCTATATTTTGATTAAAAAGAAAAAAGAGAGTAAAAAATGTATAGAAAAAATCAAAGATTTATACACTTTGTCACTTTTATTAGTAGTATAGATAGATAAAGATATAGATTTATACTTTGATGTGACACCAAATCATGATGTTTCTAGCTGAGGTTTCCAAGAGGCATGCAATGCCATCAAAGGAGCCATCAAATGTATAAACTCCATCAAAGCAAGAAATTCAAAGTGCACTTGAATAAACAATCTACATTTTGCTTAGTCTTACAAATTGCAATCAATTTTTATTTAATCTGCGAAGAAAAACGCATGAATGTAACCTTTATGTTTCAACCTGCAGAGTAGTTCCAATAGACTTTGGGATCATGCAATATATCGAAGAACAGGTTACTCCCCTGCTCCAGCATAAACATAAATCTATAAACATTGATCTATTAGAAGCATCAAAGTCCCACCCATAATCCGATCTCTAGTTGCCATTTTCTCCCCATATCTCACAAATATTTCTGCTAAATCAAACAACCCAACCTCTCTCAATTTCTTCGCCACCTTCTCAAACATAATCACCCCTTCTTCATTTAAACAATAACGCAAAAATCGATTGTAATCAAACCTATGAACCTCAAGTCCTCTATTCATCACTCTCTGCACATACTTTGTTGCTTCTAAAGACTTCCCTGCCTACACTAAACCGCCAACAAATATGGTGTCAAAATTCACTAGTGGGTCTGATCCCTTGCAGTAACATTACATATGTATGTATTGTAGGCTCACAACCTCTCTTTATCATCTCTCTAAACACTTATATCTGGTTTCTCAAACCTTTACACAATCTTATAAGCCTCTCTAACTCGAGCCTTTGTCAATAGCCTATAAGTTAACGACCCCAATGTCAAATTATCAGCTTCAATCCCTCTCTTATGCATTTCTTCGAACACCAAATGAGCTTGCCCAAGCTTACTGTTTTTTACACATCCAATTTATCACAAGTTGGTACGTTGATAAACCCAAATCATCAATCCTTTTTCTCCTCATTGATTGAAAAAGCTTCAATGCTTCATCGAATTGATTAGTCTTGAAAACGGTCTCCATCATTGTCTCAACCGTCTATCCATCCAATTCTGTTTGCAACTGCTTAAGTATGCCTTCTCAGACATCACCACATTAACCTCGGGTAACGTTTGCTGCTGTAATCCCACATCGGGAAAACATAAATGTGAGGTATCTGGAGAGTCCTATATATTAAGTTAAAGTCTAATGCACAACATACTTACCTGGACGGGATCAATGGGTGACCAAGAAGGCCCATGGTCTAGGTTGGTGACCTCCATTGCACTTAGGAGGGGTGCCCGTTTAAGGTCTACTCAAGTAGTGGAGCCTACGTCATAATTTGTGGTAGTGGGGGCCTGCGTTCGCGCGGCCCCTGCCCAATATGTTAAACCCAAGGTTTTTTTATTTAACAAAGAATTGTTCTACATTTTCTAATTCTTCCAAAAAATAATCTCTATTATTCAAAATTCTCAAAATCCACTCCTTTAAATCAAATTTTAGCGTTGCTTAGCTATCCTATGGACACTTCTGACCGTTTTTCTAATTGTTCCAAAAAATAATCTCTATTATTCAAAATTCAAGGTGATGAGCTTCACCAGGAACTAATGACCGTTTCCCTGACAGACAGGTTGACCGGACTGCAATAGGAAAAATGCTGCAATCTATGGCCTCTTTTTGTAAAAGGCCATATCTTTCACTCCGCAATCCACACACACACATATATATATATATATCATCCATTTTCCATTTCAACAATCCTCTTCCAGCGCCCCATTATCCACAACAGAGTGCCCCAAAATCCCTCAGCAAAATGGGGAGATGCATATGAGATAACTTTGAAAAACTGCGGTACCAGACTTTGATTGCATTGCCACAATGCCAAAGAAACATATATCCGAGTAATGTTTGATTGCAATATAAAGGAGTGAATGAGCTTTTAAGGCCATTGGAAATCACAAGTTCATAACACACCATTTGGTTCACACTTGACAATGAGAAAGATATTTCAGCTTGGGAAGTGAAATAGATATGATGCAAGGTTCTTCGGATTGGGAAATTGCATAACAGCTATAATATATTCTTCCACGAGCTTAGCAACTTTCCATTCTGTGTCATTATTTGACCACCTATACGAGTTGCATCTGCCTTCGTTGGAGTCTCCCTAAATATTGGAAAAGCAAATATATAGTTCTCCAATTAAACATACGAAATCTTAAGAAGATAGATATAACCGTCTTTCTTCAAATGTGGGTCCAAAACAAGTATAAGATCCATTCACAGAGTATTGTATTTCATTGTCACCAATATTTGCATTTATATACTTTTTTGGAGTATCAACCAGTGATTATGTATGAATATATCATTAGTTTATGATGTAGGACCATTTATAGTAATGAGTCCAACAAATTCACCAGTTGTGATATCTAAAATGGAACTTACCGTGAATTGGTGCAGCTTAACCGAGTTTGCTGGAATGTTGTGGTACACCCCAGCTGGTTGGTTGCTCCTTCAAGAACCTCAGGATTTTTCATTTGGCCGGTGTCTGTCGGACTGTTAGGTGGATGTGCAGTATCTGCATCTAATAAAATAGAATTAAAGAAACTTGCATTGTAAAAATAATCAAGCTACAAAGGGAAACTTGATTTGAAATTATTATCAATATCCACAAACATCAACAGAATATGCTAATTAAATATACATATATATACGTATAAACCGAAATATGTTTATCCCTTGTGAA